AATTATTCTGAGCAACACTTACCTCAGAAGCAAATGCTAGCCTTTTCATTTCACCACAAGATAAGCCTTTTGCAGAGTTTGGGATACCGATAATTGTGTCCGCACAGTTGGTTAGACCCATCTGTAAGAAAAACTTGGTAAGTCATTCGAAAGCTCAAAAAATTCTCTTTAATTCACGTTTTTTCTGCATCAATTATACTTTCCTCAATGTTTAACAGTGCTAAGTTTTTTAAATTAAAATTCTCAAATATATTTTAAGACCGTTCTTATAATATCCTCCACTCGCAGATCCTGTTCCATGGTGGTATAGTTTGACCCCATTCGTAAGCGGGCCTGAAATCGAATTAGCCTTAACTTTTTTTACAAGGTAGAGAAAACTTATTCAAGCTGCTTACCATAAATAGTAAATGCTCTCTAGCTGTCATTGTACCAATGAACATATCATTTTGTTGAACAAATGCAGAGATCTGGAAGAGAAATAAATTTATTTCCGACTCGTATATCTCGACACAACTAACCTCTTTGAACTTCCATCTACTGATGCTCCGTCCATCTACAGTAACTTTACCATCTACGTCCAAACCAGTAAGATTTCTCGATGTTAACACATTTAAAAGTGTTGTTTTTCCGGCACCACTGACATAACACTTTTAAGAAAATACTAATTTTTAATACTATTAATCGTTAAGGTACAACGTACCTACTTCCCATAATCGCCAATAACCTCCCAGCTTTAGCTATACCGCTAACTAAAATATTTGCGTTTCACATAAAGAATTCTATACTTTGAAAGTTAGAGCACTTTGCAGTAACCTTAGCAAACAGGTAAAGCAATCTTTTAATTTTTCTGATTTTCGTCCATTATCCTACCATAACAGGATCAGTAGGTATAGGCCAATTGTCCCACCTTTGTTCAAAATTTTTATCCGCTTCCGCGGTCGACGACATAGGTGTCTTTCCCAGAAGGAAGCTGATTTCTGATCTGGACCGTAAACATTCAGAGATGACCAATAGAGATTGCAGCTGAAAGAGATTATGAAATGGCTGTGGACAAAAAAAAAGTTTTCAAAAGTTTTGTTTTCTTGTTTGATAAACAGCCTTAACAAAGAAGTTTTGTAATTGTTATGTGGCAATGAAATATATCGTAGTTTTCATAATGAGCGAACTCCCACTCCACTGATTTT